TTGTAATTTTATAACCTTTACCAAATCTCTCTCTTCCCTCACCTTATTCCCTCTGCCCGTCCCAGTTTGTAGTATCTTCGTTCTACTTTTTAATTCTATGAGATCAACTTTTTTTTTTTTTAGCTTTAACAGATGAGTGAGAACATGCACTGTTCCACTTTCTGTTTCTGGCTTATTTCACTTAATGTAACATCCCCCATTTCCATCCATGTTGTTGCAAATAACAGGATTTCATTCTTATTTATAGTTGAATAGTATTCCATTGTGTATATATACCACATTTTCTTTATTCATTCATCTGTTGGACACTTAAGGCGATTCTGTACCTTGGCTATTGTGAATACTCCTGCAACAAACACGAGGGTGTGGATGTCTCCTTGATAAACTGATTTCTTTTCCTTTGGATAGATGGTCAGTAGTGGGATTGCTAGATCATATGGTAGGTTTTTTTCTTTTTTTAACTCAAGGAATTTTTTTAAATTCGAGGAAAATCTGTAGTTCTATTTGTAGGTTTTTGTTTTGTTTTGCCTTTTTTTTTTTTTTTTTTTGAGATGGAGTCTTGCTCTGTCACCCAGGCTGCAGGTTTAAGAAATTCTCTGCCTCAGCCTCCCGAATAGCTGGGATTACAGGTGTGTGCCACCATGCTCAGCTAATTTTTTTGTATTTTTAGTAGAGATGAGGGTTTACCATGTTGGCCAGGCTGGTCTTGAACTCCTGACCTCAAGTGATCCACCTGCCTTGGCCTCCCAAAGTGCTGGGATTACAGGCGTGAGCCACCTCGCCTGGCCGCTAATTTTAAAAATAATGTTTTTGAAGAGATGGTGTCTTGCTTTGTTGCCCAGGCTGGTCTTGATGTCCTAGTCTCAACTGATACTCCTGCCTTGGCCTCCAAAAGCACTGGGATTACAGTTCTAAGCCACAACGTCCAGCCCCCTATTTGTAGTTTTTTGAGGAACCTCCATACTGTTCTCCATAGTGGTTGTACAACTTTACATTCCCACCAACAGTGTATAAGAGAGCTCCCTTTTCTCTGCATCCTCACCAGCTGTATTAGTCCATTTTCATGCTGCTGATAAAGACATACTTGAGACTAGGTAATTTATAAAGAAAAAGAGGTTTAATGGACTCACAGTTCCACATGGCTGGGGAGGCCTCACAATCATGGCAGAAGGCAAAAGGCACGTCTTACATGGTGGCAGACGAGAGAATGAGAGCCAAGCAAAAGGGGAAACTGCTTATAAAATCATCAGATCTCATGAGACTTACCCACTACCATGAGAACAGTGTGGGGGAAACTGCCCCCATAATTCAGTTATCTTCCACCAGGTCCCTCCCACAACACATGGGAATTATGGAAGCTACAATTCAAGATGAGATTTGGGTGGGGACACAGCCAACCCATATCACCAGCATTTGGTTTTTATTTTTTGAGACTAAGTCTCGCTCTGTTACCCAGGCTAGGGTGCAGTGGTGCGATCTCGGCTCACTGCCAATGTCCGCCTCCTGGTTCAAGTGATTCTCGTGCCTCAGCCTTCTGAGTAGTTGGAATTGCAGGCATGCACCACCACGCCTGGCTAATTTTTGTATTGTCAGTAGAGACAGAGTTTCACCATGTTGGCCAGGCTGTTCTTGAACTCCTGACTTCAAGTGATCCACCCACCTCAGCCTCCCAAAGTGCTGGGATTACAGCCATGAGCACTGTGCCTGGCCAGCTGTTGTTATTTTTTGTCTTTTTGTTAATAACCATCCTAACTGGGATGAGATGACACCTCATTGTGATTTTGATTTGCATTCCTGATGATTAAGTGATATTGGGCATATTTTTCTTGGCCATTTATATGTCTTCTTTTGAGAAATGTCTGTTCAGATCCTTTGCCCATTTTAAAACTGGATTGTTGTTTTTTTGCTGTTGAGATATTGCAGTTTCTTGTATATTCTGAATAATAATCCTGTCAGATGAATAGTTTACAGATATTTTTCCCATTCTGTAGGTTGTCTTTTCACTCTTGATTGTTCCCTTTGCTGTGCAGAAGCTTTTTAGTTTGACATACCCCATTTGTTTATTTTTGTTCTCGTTGCCTGTGCTTTTGAGGTTCTATTATAAAATCTTTTCACAGACCAATGTCCTGAAGCATTTCCTCTGTTTTCTTCTAGTAGTTTTATAGTTTCAGGTCTTATATTTAGGTCTTTGATTCATACTGAGTTGATTTTTGCATAGGGTGATAGCTGAGGGTCTAGTTTCATTCTTCTGCATATGGATATCCAGTTTTCCCATCACCATTTATTGAGGAGGAGGATAGCTTGAGCCTAGGAGTTCCAAATTAGCTTGGGCAACACAGTGAGACTTCATCTCTACAAAAAGTATTTTAAAATTAGCTGGGTGTGGTTGCACACACCTGTCATCTCAGCTACTTGGGAGTCTGAGGCAGAAGGATCATTTGAGCCTGGGAGATCAAGGCTGTAGTGAGCTGTGATCCAATGTATGTTCTTGGCACCTTTGTCAAAAATCAGTTGGCTGTAGCTAAGTGGATTGGTTTCTGGGTTCTCTATTCTGTTCTACTAGTCTATTTTTCTGTTTTTATACCAGTACCATGGTGTTTCAGTTACTATAGCTTTGTTGTATACCTTGAAGTCTAGTAGGTGGTGGCTCTGGCTTTGTTGGTTTTGCCCAGTATTGTTTTGGTTATTGGGGTTCCACACACATTTTAGGATTTTTTTTCTATTTCTGTGAAGAATGTCATTGGTATTTTTATAGGGATTGCATTGTATAGATTGCTTTGGTTAGTAGACTATAATTTTTTTAAGTTGTAAATTTAAAGACATATTATTTTGTCAAATTTCCTTGAAGTTAACAATTAATGTAGTTGTCCCTAAATTAGGAAGAATTTTTGAAATCAGTTAAAATGAAAGAAACTACATTATTTTTAGAATTGGCCCAATTCTGGGGTGAGGCTGGTATTAAATATTTAAAAAGTGACATCTTTGATATAATACTGAAAATATATAAAATACTAGAATCCTTACTCTAGGTCTAGTTCTGCCCTTCACAGCCAGTCAGGAATGAACAAAGGAATCATGCCTTCTGACTATTTTAGAAGTTTCAGATCTTGAGAAATTCACATTACAACACAGTATATTGCAATTTACTCATGAGTATATTATCAACTAAGAAAGTCCCATTCTACTTAATGATTTTCCATAGTTTATATTCTTTATTTTTTTCAGATGGGGTCTTGCTCTGTTCCCCAGGCTGGAGTGAAGTGGCACAATCACGCTCACCACAGCCTTGATCTCCCAGGCTCCAGTGATCCTCCTCCCTCAGCCTCCCAAGTAGCTGGGACGATAGGCACATGCCACCATGCCTGGCTAATTTTAAAATATTTTTTGTATAGATGAGGTTTCACTATGTTGTCCAAACTGATCTTGAACTCCTAGGCTGAAACTATCCTCCCACCTCAGCCTCCCAAAGTGCTGGAACTACAGGTGTGAACCACCACGTTTGGCCCCATAGTTTGTATTCAGTGAACATGATATGGCAAAATCACTAGAGCTCCATACCTCTCCACCTGTATTCCTCCTCATGTCAGACACCATGTCCTAGAGTGACAGAGCTCCTAGGATATGCTATCTGTGCATAAAACCTCACTACAGTGTCCCCATTTCCCTTTTTCTATTTCCCTGGCCTAGCCCCTTCACTATTCCTTATCCCCTCCCTTAGTCAGTCGTAGAAACAAACACTATCATGGAAAGGAGGAAGGGGCTCATTGCAACGTTGTGGGCTAAAAAATCTGTGACTAGGCAGTTCTTCTTTTTTTTTCTTTAAGATGGAGTCTTGCTCTGTCGCCCAGGCTGGAGTGCAATGGCGCAATCTTGGCTCACTGCAATCTCCACCTCTCAGGTTCAAGTGATTCTCCTGCCTTAGCTTCCCGAGTAGCTGGGATTACAGGCACCTGCCATCATGGCTGGTTAATTTTTGTATTCTTGTAGAGATGGGATTTCACCATGTTGGCCAGGATGGTCTTGAAATCCTGACCTCAGGTGATCCGCCTGTCTCAGCCTCCCACAGTGCTGGGATTACAGGCATGAGCCACTGTGCCCGGCCAGACTAGTCAATTCTTGGATGCTCCAAAATGAAGATAACTGTTACACATTGCTCTTAGTTACATTTTGTTGCATTAGTTAGGCAAGGGAGGTTGGTATGTCCTTTGTAACACAACTTTAGGTATATTATAATCCAAATTTTCAGGTGTTGGAGTATGTGCATAAGAAGGGGGACAGTCCACAGATGTGGCCATGATATATTTTTATTTTCTATATTGACAAAAAATGTTATTTTTGCACCTTTTTGTTTTCTTGAGATGGAGTTTTGCTCTTGTTGCCCAGGCTGGAGTGCAATGGCACGATCTTGGCTCACTGCAACCTCCGCCTCCTGGGTTCAAGCGATTCTACTGCCTCAGCCTCCCAAGTAGCTGAGATTACAGGTACCTGTCACCATGCCCGGCTAATCTTTTGTATTTTTAGTAGAAACAGGGTTTCATCATGTTGGCCAGGATGGTCTTGAACTCCTGACTTCAGGTGATCCACCCTCCTCATCCTCCCAAAGTGCTGGGATTACAGGCGTGAGCCTCCGTGCCTGGCCTTTTTGCACTGTTACTTAACAAATATACAAGTGGCTTAGGTTTCACAATTTACATAGCTGATATCATGCACTTTTGCCAGATATAAAATTACACATTTTTCCCTACCCTTGTGGCTCTATGTCTACACAAAACCAAACACAGCTGTTGTTCACAGTGGCTACCATTTACATAAACATTATAGGTAAAATTTCCATTACAAGACAAATTGTACTTATGTACAACTAAGTAAATAAGTTTTAAAAAAACCCATAAACAACAACAAACTAAACAAAAAACATTTTATTTGTTGGCATTTTTCTGTTGCTTAGAATATTTCCTTTGCTAGAAGAGCAGTCACCTAATGAGTGACAGAGTGCTTACTTATGAGTGAATTGCTTGCATCCTCATTTTTACTGCTCCTTTTTTTGCTGATTTTCTTGGCGTCTTTGGATGCTTTCCAATTCATTAGAAATTGTCTTTCTATATTTTTAATTTCTTTTCCATCAAGAAATTCTGGAGAAAAATATATATATTTAAAAATATATACATATATATACATATATACAATATATACATATAAACATAAGTCAAAATATGCAATTCTGGTTCAGAGCACAGAAACTTAAGTTACACCATAGACTGAAATAAATTTGTTTTTAAAATACGTTAATTACGCAACGTATGTACTTTTGTTGAGATTTTATTTATAGATTTTTTTCTGATTCCAAAAAGAACATATGCTTGTTATAAACAATGGAAATATCATCAAATAAAACATTAAAAGGCTCCGTAATTATTATCCATACCCCTTCTTTTTTTTTTTTGGAGACAAGGTCTCACTCTGTCATCCAGGCTGTAGTGCATAGGGTGATCTTGGCTTACAACAACCTCTGCCCCCTGGGGCTCAAGTGATCCTCCCACCTCAGCCTCCCGAGTCGCTGGGACCACAGGTGTGCACCACCATCCCCAGCTATTTTTTTGTATTTTTAGTAGAGACAAGGTCTTGCCATGTTGCCCAGACTGGCCTGAAACTCCTGAGCTTAAGCAGTCCGCCTGCATCGGCCTCCCAAAGTGCTGGGATTACAGGCATGAGCCACCGTGCCTGACCATACCCCTTATTATGTTTGTTTATTTATTTATTTATTTATTTTTGAGACAGGATCTCACTCTGCCATCCAGGCTGGAATGCAGTGGCATGATCTTAGCTCATTGCAACCTCAAAACTCCTCATCTTAAGTGAGCCTCCTGCCTTAACCTCCAGAGTAGCTAGAACAATAGCCATGTGCCACCAAGCCTGGATAATTAAAGACATTTTTTTTTGTAGAGGTGGGATCTCACTATGTTGCCCAGGCTGCTCTTGTATTCCTGGCCTCAAACAATCCTCTCACCTCGGCTTCCCAAAGCCCTGGGATTACAGAGGTGTGATAGAAATTGAGCTTCATAAATTATACAAATAATTTTTGCATGTTGTAAGACATTTGGAAAACACACAAAAAATAAAAAAATTATTCCCCAATGAGAAATAATCACTGGTAACACTTTTGTATATTTCTTAGCATGTTTTTATTTTTGATATATGTATGTAAAATTGGAATCCTCTATTTATATTAGTTTTGCATCCTGCTTTTTAATATTGTGTTGTGAATATTTTACCATGTTTTTCCTTAAATACAGTTTTTATTGGCTGGTGTTCTATTGTTTGTGGATATATTATGAAATACTGAACAATTCCCTTATTAAAGGTTATTTTATATTGCCTATATTGTTTCCTCAATTACATGAACACAGATGACCTTCATTTAATAGAAGGATGATTTTTTTCTTCAAAATTTTTTTCTTTCTTTCCATAGGACTCTGCTTGATAGATTTTTTTCTAATGAAATTTATGTATAGTAGTTTTGAAAATTAGATATTTTCTCTCATTATTCATGTAATCCACTAGATCCCAGAATGTAGAAAGGATGTAGTAAAATTTATTAGATCACACATTATTTCAGGGATAATGACAATATTCTGATAAAATATTAGTTGTACTACTGAAAATATTAATACTGCCACTTAAACATGAGCCATAATATTGTGTTATACCCAAAGTACAAAACAAAATGTTGAAACAAAGAATATAAACTAGAACTATAGAATCTAGAAGTAAAACTGTCTCCATATCTTATTTCATGCACTTTTTTTTTCACTGAAGATGCTAGTACTATCCAAACCATAAGAAATTGTCAAATATCTTAGTACTTACAACTTTACAATAAAAGTCATCTTTTTTATTATTTATTTTAAAAAAACCTCTTTAATCATATGCACATAAGGTGAATAAAGGGCAACACCAGGCTGACTGGGGAAGGGAGCAAGATATTCTCCCTTTGTCCCAATGTCTGCTTGGCATAGTTCTGAGATCATACAAGTGGGAGTGGGTTGGGAAACAGAATAAATGAGAGGACAGAAGAGACAAAGGCAAGAGGGGAGAGGCAAGGGCTTGCAGTAGTCTCAATTAGTGGACTGTACGCAGATTCACTTAGGGCAAGGTTCCAGTAATGTTCAGCCCCATGCTTTCTGAAATGCTCACAAGCTATGTTCTCTGTAGGACACTGTTTAAACTTCATCTCTCCAAAGCTCCGGTCTTTGGCTGTACCCTCCCAGAATAGTATACATTTGTTGGTTTTCTTCACAGCTTCCTCATTAGATTCCTCATGATCATCTCCCTTTGTGTTAGATGTCCATTCATCCCACTTTATCCGATGCAGCATTAAGATGCTTACATTTCTTCTGGGCCTTGGGGCCCCCTTCCACTACTACCACGTTGACATCCTTGTGCAGTACCACCACCCCGTCAGGTACAGTTGCCCAGCAGTGGCCTCAATCTTGAACTTCTTGGCTGGGGTGCTCAAATTTGTAACTCCATATACAGATATGTGTACCCCTGTGAAATGTCTTAAGCTTTTAGATTTTCTTGACCTTTCTCTATTCTGCTGTGAGTTTTCAGGCAGAATTGACCTCTTCATGCACTTTCTGTCTTTTTGCCATCTGAGCTCTGACATGGACTTCTACCTTCGTGTAGTCTTGAACAGCTTCTGTTCCTAATACTTGCGTCAAATTAGAATTCTCACTTTGGGTTCTGGAGGAGGCATCAGGCCCAGCCTGACTTTTTCTAGTAGTTCCTTCTGTGCTTCCCTCCTTGTCTGTCTCTGAAGTTTTTTCTGTTCCTTCTTGGTAAGATACACTCCCAGAGTAACTGGTGTGTCATTGTCGACTGGAGGATTGAGCTGGGCTGGATGTTCAACAAGATTTGTGATTCCAAAATAATCTTCTCTCTTGGGATTTTCCTCTGTAAGGTCAAAGCCATTGGGGATTATATGAGTCCCACCACTCAATTTCAGGGATATCTACTTCCTTTAGCTCCTTCCTAGGAGCAATGAAGGCAAGCCTAGTCAAAGTATGGATGCCTATTTTTTGAGCTGCTTGTGAAATCTCTGCCTGAAGCTTCTCCAGTTGAGCCTTTGTTCTTAATTGCTGAGCAATCTTCTCAAATTTGCCCTTGTCATGGAATTTAAAAGTGCGTTTCTGGCGCTGGGAAGCGACAGTGGAGACTCAGGGTCAAAAAAGATATTGGACTCCATGTCTTCTGATGGTTTTTCTTTTAGCTGTTGCTTGAATGGTTCCCTCTTCACAGCACGAATATTGGCAGGAGTAGGCATGCAGTGTGTCAGCTCAATCTCCTTGCATGTTGCATCTACAGTGCACCCTTGATCATCTAGGATCAGTGGTGTAGGTTTAATTTGGTCATTTAACTCCACCTTTGGGGGAGCAATGCCCATGGCATGGAGATTAGCCAGGCCCAGCATGTTGGCATTGCTGATGAGTCCTGGCTTCAGTGCCACCCGGGCTTGGATTCGAGCTTGTAGTTCAGCTGCTTTCCTTGCCTTCTCAATGGCATCATTCATGAAAGTGGCAGCCTGGGAAGGCAGAATAGTGTGGCCGATTGGAAGTAGCTCTGGTTGGGAGGAAGAAGGCGTCTTTGGCTGAGGTGTAGGGGGGCTAATAAAGCGTAGCTGTTTTTTCCTCTCCTCCATATGTCATTTTGCTGCGTCCATCATCTGTTTGATCTGGAGCTTAGTCAGCATGCCAGGACTCTCTGATGGAGGCCCAGGGATCACCTCAGGCTCTTCTTCCACCTCCTCAAAACGGGGTATTCGCTGCTTCTTTACTCCTGATGATTCCTTAGAGATCTCAAGAGTCATCACCAAACACCTTCTTTAGCTCTCGTTTTCTGCTTCAGTCACTGCTAGACTTGGAATGCCTAGAGCTTCCGCCTTTCTCCTACAGCCTCAGTTTGTCCACAAATCGGAGAGTAGAATCATCAAGAAAAGGTATCAGATGATCGGCTGCCTTCTTCTTGTCCATGCTCTTCCCCACACAGTTCAATGCTGCTGTGACCACTGTAGGCTCTGAGAAACCCAGCACGCTCTTCACTGTCTTCTCATCCGCCTTGGAGCCTCCCAAAGTGCTGGGATTACAAGCGTGAGCCACTGTGCCCAGCCTGACATCACTGATAAATTAGGAAGAAAAGGTTAAGGAGTGTCTAATTCTAGTTATCAACGACTGTGAAAAGATCAATGGTTTCAGCTCATCCATCTCCCTCTTAGTGCCATTTTTCAGGAAAAAGAGAACAATAGCTCGAATGGGACTCAATACTACAGCTCACAAACTTCAGCCCCGAGACGGCAGCCGAAAGTTAAACCTGAACCAGAAACCTTCTGACCGCCCTAGGCCTGTCGTCGCTATCGCCACGGCCGCTGCCACACCGCTGTCTCCCAAAATGTGACCAGGGAGGGTCGGGCCGCCAATTCGTGCAGCCGTATTTGCCACTTTCCTGGAGGCAGAGCGCATGCGTCGCAGAACTGAAAAGTTTCCCTGAACAAGTTGCTTGCTTTCTGTTTCCCGGACTAAGCCTATTTCTGCCAAGTTAATGTCTTTAACTTCCTGAAGCGGAAATTGGGTTACTTGTAGTTTTCCTCATATGGCGAATAAGTGTGCAAAAGCAAAATTCTGCTAGAATGAAGAGCGAGGCTTCTGCGTTTGTGTTAAACACAGTCTTTCTGATAGAAAGTAAATCCTTTCACAGTCGTGATAACTAGAATTAGCCATCCTTCCTTAACCTTTTCTCCCTAGTTTAACAGTGGTGTCAGGCTGGGCCGGTGGCTCATGCCTGTAATCCCTGCACTTTGGGAGGCCAAGGCGGGTGGATCACTTGAGGTCAGGAGTTCGAGACCAGCCTGGCCAAAGTGGTGAAACCCCGCCTCTACTCTAAAGGTCATTCTTTGATGCTCAGTTTTTCCAGCCACTTATATTTATTGATGTCTTTCCAGATCTATTTTTATTAATAATTATATAACTTGTTAGTATATTTTTGGATGAGATATATGTAATCAATACATACTTTTAAAATATACTATAAAGATAAGGAATGAAAATTCTAAGTCTTTTACTGTAATCTCTTCTTCCTCATGTTAATGTCCCAAGCAGAGCTGAGGAATGACTAGGAAACTGTGCCTCCATTAACCTGATTCCATCTGATTTTTAGCAAATGATCTTTTTTTTTTTTTTTTTTTTGAGATATTCTCTCACTTCGTCGCCCAGGGTGGAGTGCAATGGCATGATCGCGGCTCACTGCAACCTCCGCCTACCAGGTTCAAGTGATTCTCCTGTCTCAGCCTCCCCAGTAGCTGGGATTATATGTGCACGCCGCCACGCCCGGCTATTGTTTTGTATTTTAGTAGAGATGGAGTTTCACTGTGTTGCCCAGACTGGTCTTGAACTCCTGAGCTCAGGCAATCCACCTGCCGTGGCCTCCCAAAGTGCTGGGAATACAGGCGTGAGCCACCGCGGCCGGCCTCAAATGATCTTATTTGAAGTTAATAGGTGTGAAAATGGTTCAAGACTGGGAGCCAGGTAATGGATTCCAGATTATAGACCTAATGAGATTTATTTCATTTTAATAAGTTGCTCTCAATACAAAATTTGCTTCCACTCATGCTAAGTAAACCAAATATGTGGACTGTCACTCTGTTCGGTGAGGACTGGGTAACCTATAAAACATAAAAATGACTTCTTACAAGGACATAGCAAACCAGTGCCTTCGTGAGAGGTCACTGTGTGTCTTTCTGATGCTGTGTCACTTGGTCACTATTAATCTAGTGCTTTTGTCCATTTCCCCCAGTATGGTGCATATTCAGGAATGTTATTTGTAAGGATCTCATAAAGGGTCTCCTCACTTAGCTCTCCTATCAAATGAAAGGGATTCCTGTATGTTCTTAGGGTAACATTTGGCAAATGTCAAGCAATGAAAGCTTTGATCAATTTTATCTACAGAACCAAGAGCTAAGGAGTCTCTTGGGATCATCAAAGGATTTGTGCCAGTGAAAGTTTGGCAAAAGGTCAGCAAGTTCTACACATTTATGACTAACCATTTTTATTGGTAATAGCAAAATATCCTCCTTAAGGAATAAGTATCAGGTGCTTTAATTACTTCTGAACAGCAGATGTTTTTCATGCTTTATTTGTCAATTTTAACTTTTGCTCTTATTCAAAATATTGAATTTAAAGTTGACAGTTTTCACAGATCCAGATGTCATATTCATATTTCTGAAAGCTTACTGGTAAAATAACTAAAAATTAACTAATTGTCATTCTCTTATTAATATAAATATGTACCCAGTGATTTGGACACCAGTATCAGTCTGTCCCTGTATTTTGGTTTGAGACAAACAGGATTTCCATTTAGGTCAATTTTCCACAGCTTCATCAACTTGTTCAGTAAAAACTCCAAATCCTATAATTAGAGAAGAAAAAGCAAAGCACAAGCATTTCATATTTACCAATACTTCTAGCATGTCGGTTATTGTTTTTAAAGGTAATTACTGCTTTCATGGAATTCTAGTTCAGAGCCAGGTACTTAGAAGGTGCATAATAACACCTTCTAAATAAATTTTGTGCATAATAATACCTTCTAAAATAAATTTTGAATAAAACAATCTATACTGATAATAGAAGGCACTGAAGATAAGGCAAAAAAATGAGGTCTTAAGTTGAGGGCCACACAACTGTTCTCTGTCATACGCCCTTAAATGGCCCCCACTGCAGCTCAGAAAAAACTTTTTCCTGCGGAAGATGCCCTATTCTTAGTGTAGCTCATAGAAGTTTACAGATTAGGCAATTAAGGGGTAGTGAGTAAGCAGTCCCTTGCGATTGTAAGCAATGTGTGTTGTTGCTTTTTATTTTACAAATAATTCATATTAATTTTTTAAGTGTTAAAAAACAAAAACAAAAACAAACACCTACCAAAAGGAAAAATGGAAGAAAGGGGGAAAAATCATTTGTATGCTTATCATGCAAAGATCATTTTTAATATGTTGTTATGTATCCGTCTAATCTTTTTTGAGCATAGGGACTTTTGGGAGGGTACATATTTTTTTTTTTTTTTTTTTTGAGACGGAGTCTCACGCTGTTGCCCAGGCTGGAGTGCAGTGGCGCGATCTCGGCTCACTGCAAGCTCCGCCTCCTGGGTTCACGCCATTCTCCTGCCTCAGCCTCCTGAGTAGCTAGGACTACAGGCGCCCGCCACCGCGCCCGGCTAATTTTTTGTATTTTTAGTAGAGACGGGGTTTCACTGTGGTCTCGATCTCCTGACCTTGTGATCCGCCCGCCTCGGCCTGTACATATTTTTAATTGTCATAATTGTACTGTGAGTACAATTTTGTTTTACATTATATCATAAATGTTTACATGTTTTTATAGTTTATAAGAAGAAAATCAGCTAACTGATATTTCAAGGAATAATAAAGTTATTCTGTGGTCTACAACCCAAATAAATGTGAGGAAAACAGATTAACGGAACTTAAGAACTAACTGTCTCAGTTTGCTTTTTTCACAGCCTCTTTGTCCCTATTTGAGTTTCTTTTCCCATCCAATGTCACTCTTTCCCCAGTACCTTGTCTGTCATTTCTTGCTTTCTCCCCTTCCCCCCTTTCTAAAAAGTGTATTTTATCTTAACTACTATTTAATGAAAATGAAGTACACTTTGAGTATTTCTTATATGTGGCCAAAGTTCTGTTCTTTATCTTTAATATCAGATGCATTTAATCTGTTATGAATTACTCAACAAAAGTAGTGCACTTAGGTTGTTTCCATAGCTTGGCTATTGTGAATATTACTGCAAAGAACATGGGAGTGCACATGTTGCTTTTAAAATAGTAATTTCACTTCCTTTGGATATATACCCTAAATTTAGTCTGCGCTAGACTTTAAGGGATTCCAATAAATAATTTATGTGAAAATATAAGACTTTTTTTTTTAAATAAGGCAATCCTAAACTTCCTGGCACTGCTGCTTACTGTGTGACCTTAGGCAAATCTATGTCTTCATCTATAACTTGAGGTTAATTAAGATTAGTTGCCATGGCACATAAAGTGCCTGGAACAAAGAAAGTAATAAATGTGTTAGTTCTCTGCCTGTTTGCCTGCCCTGCTACCTCTTAACTAATTCCCTTTCTCTCAAGTTTTGTCAACAGAGAGTGAAAACATTTTAAGTAAGGAAGAAGAAACTTCTTGACCTATTGACAAATAAGTAGTTGGCTTTTTATAAGAAAGTTATCTTCATAAATTATAACTTCAGCCTTCAGTTCTGGGCTCTGGAATATGCCTTCTCCAGCAGCATTTGTTTGGCAGTGTTTAATACAGCCATAACTACCTTATTTTACGTGAGAGTTACATTGTATTTCTCTTACTCTAGAAACCTGTAAGGAAGGGATTATGCATCACATTTTTTACAGTGTTGAATGTGATGCCCATCATCTAAAAGTTAATAAGAACACTTACAGAACTTCAAATTGATATAGATAAAAGAGTGCTTAGAGTTTTGTTAATTGTTCTTTACTTGATAAATGACCCTCGACATACTCCCTCCAGTGTATGTTTATTTAAGACTAAACTAATCCTTTGCTGAAATACGATTACCCTTCGGATACGCTCTGGTTGTTCATTGCCTTCCTGTCTTTGCCTTCCTGTCTTTAATAAAAAGCTTTCACTTTCCTCTCTTCAATAAGTTACTAAAGGAAGCAGACACTTTTCTGGACAGTCTCTGTTTGATAAATGATCATGTCATGCTATCACTTAGAGGAGTGCTGCAAAATACTGAGGAGCAAATTATATTTCCCCTGCAGGGTTGATGCCTAAGCTCCTGTATAGGCGTCTGCAGCACAGCAATGCTCTCTCTACCATTAATGATGACCGCTGATGAACCTGTATTTGACCAGCATACTCCAATCTTTATTGGCAATGTCTGGAACAACCATCCTTACTAAATCTAAAGACAGCCATTTGTCATCCCTCTGACTGCCTGTCATCATCTGCCTGGGAAAATCTATAATTTTTGGCTTGTTCCTGACTCAACTGTGGAATGAATAAATTTATCTTTGGGTCACTCTGCTTGTCAGGATCAATAATGAGCAGAGGTTGAATAAATTAGAAACTGAGAAAACATGACAGGCCGTAGAAGTTTGTTCATTTGTGTCTTATAAATCAGATATTTAGTTCATATAAGAGGCAAATATGTCAAGTTTTTTATTTCCCTCATTCTGAAGATGCTATACCTCATGATAAATGGTCATCAGAAAACCAATGAAGTAAATCACTAATATATCTGACTTTGAGATGAACTTTTCAGATCATTGTATTGATTTAGCAAACTTTACAGACTTCAAAACTTAGGTAAATATTAAACTATTTTTGTTCTTCAAATTGTATACATTTTTCAGCCATGATATTCCTTTGAGTTAATAGTGTCAGCAAGCTATATAATGCTGGCCCTAGTGAAGTTCATGGCTCAGCTTAGCCTCATCAGATTACTTGTACAAATGCAAAAGTTTTGTTGTAAATTGTTGTTAAAGTATTTAATAATTTTTATACATTGATGAATATCTGTTTAAAGGAGGTACAGGAAAAACATGCAAAGACATGTTAACCAAAAGTAAATGTCACTTAACTAGAGCCCTGTAAGTTAAAGGAGTTTCTAAACTATGAAATATTGTTTGGCCTAAAACCTCTCTTTTGCCTTCTCTCCAGTGGTTGACCTTGCCACCAGTTTTACTTAGGAGAAGTGGGTCATCCATCCACCAAGTTTTCTCAGTTATCTGCCTTTGATTTCACACTTCCTCTTCCATTCTTCTTTTCCATTTTTCTCAACAAAGGAAGAGTCACACCTCTTTCCCCAGGTTAAGTAGTTCTTTTGATCCCAGCCTTTTCTTCCTGGGTTCTCCTCTCTCTTCCATTTCCATTTCTAGTATCTCCCTCTTATCTGGATTTTATTTTGTCTCTTACCTACCATTGCCAAACTTCTTGAAGACTGATCTGGACTAATGCTTCTCAAACTTTTGTGTGCTTAAGAATCCTGAGTAATCTTATTTAAATGCAGGTTCTGATTTGTTAGGTCTGAGACAGAAGCTGAGATTCTGCATTTCTGCTGCTGCTGCTGCTGCTGGTCTAGGTCACCACTTGGAGTTGGCCTAGTCTACTGCATGCCTATAGTGTGGAGACCAGCTGGTTGCTTCTTCAACCACTGGGCACTCATGCAATCTGGTGCCACTGAAAAGGCATTGCTAACCGTATCACTGATCCACACATTGCCAATCACATACTTTCTCAGTCTCAATTCTTTGGAATATCGCACCCTGTTCATCACTCCCTTCATGGCTTTGTGATTCTACATTCTTGCAGGCTCCATGGATCCTTCATGAATCTCTGACCCCACAAGTAACAAACCCCTGACTACAGAAATCTCTAATGTATGAATAGGCTGTTTCATACATTGGGGAAAACTCTATTAAAGTTTCCACCATCTCTCACTTCCTAACTAACCTGGCCTCTTCCAGTCTGTTCTTCACATTGTAGCCATGTGGATCGTTTCAAACCACTAATCTCAGCTATATACTGAGAACTGAACATCTAACTAATAAAACATCTAACTAATAGAAGCAACTAACTAATAAAACATCTAACTAACAGAACATCTAACTAATAAAAACAATGCTATAAGAACATCTATGCAGGGACAGTCTTCGCCATAATGCATCAGGACGTTACCAGAGAGTGAGAGCTCCCACTGGGGAGCAGGAGCATATGTCCCTGCTGGGAGAACCTTGGGGACCAATTCACTTGATTCCTTTTCTATAATCTATGTTTATTCCTTTCAAACAGTGTTTGTTTCCCTTCCCTGGATCACAACAGAATGTAAAATCATAGCTAGAAAAAAGTTTGCCTCCTGTAACCCATTGCCTTCTCTATTTATACTTAGACCCTTTATAGAAAAAGAATGGCCACATTGATGATAATAGTCAAACTTCTGTTACCCTAAGGAAATAAAGGTCATCTATTCAAAAGAGGAAGAACCAAATTATTTGGGAGGCCAAGCTGAGCATTTCTTTGTACTCTCTGCCCACCTGACTATAGGCAATCTTGTGAATGATGGTAGTTTCAGTGACCACTTAAACAATACACTGAAGATTCACATTTATCTATCCTCTGAGCTCTGGCCTCATATGTCCAATTATGTACTTGACATTTTCTCTGGAACATTTCAAAGGCACTTCAAACCCTACATTACCAAAATTCATGATCTCTCAAACTTGACTCTTGACTTCTTTATTTCTCATTGTGCAAGGCAAGAAGCCCAGGAATCACTCTTGACCTCTCCTCCTCCCATGCTCCCTATATCCAACTCACAACCAAGTCTTATCCATTTTACTTCCTGAACAGCTCTCCAATCTGTCCATTCCAT